TGGTTTAACGCAGTAGACGGACTAAATACAAGTGCCAGTTGTTTCAGCATAGTGCCATAGTATAATAGTCGTGTGAATTGTCCCTTCTTCGATATGACAGATACTTGTATTATTATTAGAGGTGGCTATTAAGACATCCTGGCTATGACAATAAGTAGGCTATTAGGGTTAATGTATTTTTCATTAATTGGTATCTTCTATTCGATATACTATAGGTCATTTATTGATTGTTCGGCGAGCGTGCGAACGGATTTACTAATGACAATACGCGCAGCTGCAATTTATTATTAAGGTGGCTATTAAGACATCCTGGCAATGACAATAATTAGGCTATTAGGGTTAATGTATTTTTCATTAATTGCTATCTTCTATTCGATATACTATAGTATAGAGTTGATGTTTCGACCGTATTTCACATCTCAAATTGTGTCCGAGTAGGTTAGGCGTTAGGTAGGAAACACCTAGGTCCCGGGTTCGAATCCGTTGTACGCTGTCCGTGCGTCGAAACCGTTATTCCCATATGGTTAATACGGCCGCCCGATTGCCGACTTTTTTTGCTTTTTTTTTCCGTAATTTTACAAATTTCCGATCTTTTCTCTTTACTGTTATTATTATTATTTTAACTTTTCTTTGTGTATAAAAATTACAATATTTTTACTACGTTAAATTTTTTTTAAATTAATCTACAATATATCATTTTTTATGTATTATAATATAACATGTATTTACGTGGGTAAACATGTTTTTTTCGATTTTCTTACGTTAGGTATCTTACAAATTATAGTTACTGGTTTTTTACTTTGCTGTATGAATATTTTTACTACTATATTTTTATACCATTATATTATGTCATGTACCTTCATCGTTGTATTTAAATAATGTATTGTTACCTAATTAATCGTTTATTTAAAAAAAAGTATAATGTCATGTACATAATTGTAATCTAACTGTTGGATTGCTTATATAACAAATAATTTGTAATTAAACTACTAAATTGTTCATTTAACAAAAAATATAATGTCACGTACCTACATATTGTAATTTAAGTATTGCATTTTTTAATAATTACATGTCTGTATGTAAGCAATTATATTATAATGTGTATTATTGTGATTTAACTATTCAATTGTTTATATAGAACAAATATAATGTTATGTACGTTCATCATTGTAACTTAACTATTGCATTTTCAATTAATTATTCTAAACACGGTTTTATGTATTCATTACGGTTTTACAATCACTGTCAGTTCATTTGTTTCTACAAAATATATCTTATCATTGTAGGTACTACTATTTCAACTATGTAACCAGGGCCGGATCTAGGGGGGAAGTCGGGGATTTATCCCCGGGCGTATAATTTTCGTGGGCGTATTTTTAAGGTTTTAAATATTTTGTAAATTGAAAATTGAAAATGGACTTTAAAACAAAAGTCAAAACTAAGTACGAAATAATATTTCACAGGAAATGTGTAATATTGGGTATGGGAATAAAATAAAATAATTTTATTTTTAATCGAGATTAGTAATAACTAATAACATTGATTTAAAAATTAAAAGGACAAATATGAAAAAGGTAAAAAATAGATAAAAATATAAAATAAATAAAACCCGTCCGCAATTTACTGTCAGCGGGAGTGTACATGCCTTAGTCTATCATAAATAGATTAATGTACTCTCCAATTAGTGACATAATAAAGTATGGTAAATTACATCATTACACCTACGAAAACGGCCGCAACTTAATTTGCGGTAGGCAGGTTGTTTCGGCCCTTATCCCGGGCTGCATCTTCAACGAAATTCATTCTGACTGGTCTCGGTGGAGCGGCTGCGGGATCGGCCAGGGCTCTTTCTGCAGCCACACCTGACGCATGTTCCTGAAACAAATATATTTATGTTAAACACACTCCACATGATGTGTACAAATAATTGTGAATTTTAATTGCAAAGAGCTGAGAATAAATCATATTACCTAAAATGTATTAATCAATAGTAATTGGTGTATTAGTGTATCAGTGATATTGTTAGAAATAATTATATATTATGTGTAATAAAAACATCCGATCATTCAATCCATTTATCGGTAGCGGTGAGAGTATAATCTATACTAAATATTATATATTATAAATCGTCCATGCTCGGTCAAAAGGGCTAAAGTCAAAAATACACATTTTGAGATTTTTATGTTTTTTATTTCTAATAAATTATGAATTATTTTTTGGTAAAATTAGATTAAGTCAATCTTTTTTCCTCTTTAAGTTATAACACTTATCATTTATCATATACAATTTGGCGTTTAATTTTATTGTAAAATATGTTATACTATTACTTTAATTTTTATCAGTTTGATTTATCAATTACAATGTTTATTATATAATTTTAATACCCCTATCTGTCAGCCCTACACTCAAATAAAATAGGTACATCAAACTGTGGTATCACCCGTATTGGATAATACGCGGTAAACCAACTTTATACCTTACCCTCGTACGCTCTAGGCTAATGACTGTCTCTAGAATAAATTCAGATTAGCACTGTTAACTTTTGAGGTACGATGGTAGCGTTTTGTCAGTTCTTCGTTCGTTTCCTAAATTGGAATGACTATTAGGACGCCACAACCAGAGCACTGTTCAGTTTGTAATAAACCTCATTGACTATAGGTGTGTGGGTCTGAGCACTGTTCCAATATTAAAGGTAAGAACTTAAGAATGACTTAAATAATTGTAACTCGGGTTTTCAGGTCGGAAACACTTTTATTATATTTAAAAAACAAACACAAATAAAATACACTTGGTGAATTCAGATCGCCTAGCCCGTACTACGATCGACGTTTCACACGTACGACCACAGTATCTACGTCCTCGCCGATTCACTCAGCGACAACCGGACTCCTCTGGTGCCTGCGCGTGCGGCGGTGTTATATAGTAATCTTATTGCTGTCTCAGCACATATGCTTCACTGACCTATGTCAATAGTTTACAATTTAAAATGTTCCCACCTCTATTACATATATGAAATAATATTTTGACGACTGTCTACAATATACGACAGTCCCCATTGTTTTTTGAAAAAAATGCCCTCATTTTTAATGATGTTTCTACATACAAATGTCTTATTACTACATTAAATACTAATCTACTTTTACACTATATTTCTGTCTCGGCTTATTCGCGTCGTTGACTATAGAATTATGCTTAAATGTTAATTTTAATTTACTAATTTATTTTTTTTTTATATGCGTTGTTTTTTTTTTTTTTTTTTTTTTAAACAAGCAATGATATACTAACACAGTATACAATAAATCTTACGGACCGCCTAGGCAGCGAAAAATATTTAATGCTAGAAACCCAGATAGTAGACCATTCTAACGGAGTAATCTTATACAATTATTCCAACGTTTATAGTAATATTCCAAAAGGAATGACAATAGCCACAATTCACGAATTAAACATACAAAATAATTAACAGTAATTACAATAATTTAAATTTAAAACAGATAAATCGATATTTCAACCGCCGTAATTATTTTATACTGTATAAAATTAACTCGGAATATAAATACAAAAAAAAATCTCTACCTGTGGCAATATTATGTGAGGATCTAGAAACAATTAGATACATATAATTCATAAATACATATTAATGATTAATAATTTTTTTATAATATAAATATAAATTGAGTTATATTTTATACTGTATTATAATGTATAAAATACATACTCAGAATATAGATACAAAAATTTATGTGAATACATATAAGGTTATAATAATTTATTGATTGGCTCTTTGTGGAAAATGTTTTCTTAGAGATTTTTCTCAGTTTGAAGTATAATATTTTTATTTCGACAAATAGCAGTAAATGATTGTTGTTCTTCTACGGGATTTTTGTTTTTTTTTTTTTTGATTCTGTGGTAGTTAATTCTTCTTCTCCTTTGTATTTATAAGGTAAGTGTTTATTATCTTGCTTGTTTTAGTTTTTCTGCTTATAATCTGTATATATATTTTTTTTCTTTTTATTTATATATATTCTCGTATATTATTTTTCCAAACTTCTGTTTTGATTGCAGTCTCTTCCTCGTGTAATATGAAAAGGTATTTGCTTATTGTTTTTATAATTATTGGTTTAATGCTTACTGTCTACTTTGAAAATATTATATTCGCACTTTGTCTCAGAAGATTGTTGCGGCTTGTTGTCTGTTGACTCGTTAATTTTTGATTATGCTGAAAATACATTCTATTCTTTTGTTTTTTTATATCTTCTTTTTTTTTTTTACATGTTTTTAATATTTTATTATTTTCCCTTAAATGTAATTGTAATATTAATTCATATATATATATATATATATATATATATAGGTAAAGGGTTAATTGAACTTATACATGACATATACTTAATTTATTTATTTTATTTATTACTGTGTTTAATTGCATATTAATTAATTGTATTTATATTTTTCTAAAAAGGGGGCTTATATTGTTTTGATAAAATTTAATTTTTACAATTACATTAATTTTGTTTAGTAATATTTAGAAAAATTATTCAAGGGACTTGATAAAATGTATAAGATTCTCGAATCCCTCCAGGATTTTTTTATCAATGTTGTCGGTAACTTTTTTATTCTGTCTTCGTTGTTGGTGTTTGTTCTCGGGTTGTTCCCCGTTTTCAATTTTTTTTATGTTTTGTTTTGCCTTTTTTATTGCTTTGTGTAGTTTTTTAATTTTTGTTCTCTGTGCGAATCTTTCGATGTCGTTCATCTGTAAATATTTATGAATATGTGTGTAAGGTTTATGTATGTGTGTGTATGTTTTGTTTTTTTTTTTTTTTTACGATGTTAACCTGAGCTGTGTATATTTAGCTTAATTTTTGTTTAATCTTTTTTTTCTGTAGTTAGTATTATTGTATTTGTGCAATCTGATGTTTCAGTAATGACCTGAGCGTGTGTTTTTTTTTTTTTTTATTGTTTTAATGAAAAATGAATTTTTTTTCTTTTAACATTTTTTTTTATTGTCTCGCCGGTATCGGTGGGGGATTTAGTAAATCTATTTTTATTAGGACGGGGAATAATTTGTATGCTAAAAATCCTATGGCTATGGTCAGTATTGTTAACCATCCTAAGTATATAATATCGCCAAGGAAGTCATTTATCAGAGGTTGTGGCATTTTTTCTAGGATGACCTTTTTAAAATATTCTTCGGGATCTTTTAACTGTCTGGTTATGTGATAGTTCGGAATTTCTTTGGTCCAGTCTTCATTTAGTATTTCGCTTAGATTTGAGAAGTATATATTTTGATCTTTCTGTGCCTCATGACCAATGTTTAAAGATTTTATGTTTGTCCATGATGTGGGTAATATTCTTTGTATAGTGAATTTGTTTAGATTGCTTAGTTCGCATGGAAACATTTTGAGAATTAGTACTTTCCCGTTTCTTAAAAGCTCATAATTACATGGTAAGGAAATCTTTATTAGACCTGGGTGTGTGTAGTTTATTTTTAGTTTTTGTGTTTCGGTGTATACATTTTTTTTGATTTTCTTATCATTAGCGTAGGTTGGGGATTAGTGATTGCAAAAGTATTTACTCCTATTTGTTTAATTATTACTTCTTCATTTTCTTGTTGTTTTACACATTGAAAGTAACAGAACTTGTTTATTTGGCTTAGCGGGAGATTTCTGAATAATGCTTCCACGCATTTTGGTGTTAGCGTGATATCCGAAGTGAATTTAGGGATGTAGCATAAGTCCGTTATTGGAGGATCGCAGTGCTGTAGTCCCATACCTGAAACTATTCTGTGATCGTCGTTTTCGGTATTTACTGCTACATACGTTTTTTCAGAAAATATTAGACATATAGAATCTTGAAATTTAAAATGTGCCGGGATGTATTGAAATAGTTTCCAATTTGTCGATTTTTCTTTAATTGGTATTTTTAATTTAATTAAGATTTTTGATTTTGAAAATTGGCATTCAACAATTGGTAGATTATAATATGAACAAATATTTTCTAATTTGATTACTAATTCGTATCCGTCTTCCATTAGTAGTTTTGAAAGTTTGTTCAGGTCGTAAAATAAAACTTCGGTATTGATCACTCGTGGAGGTATTTTGCCTAATTTGCAGTTAAAATAATATAATATACCAGGCACGTGAAGCTCGATTGGTAATTTGTTTATAAGCGTGTTGATCAGGCCACTGCCTTTATTCTTGCTGCTTCTTCGAGCGAGTGACATCGTGTACTGATTACATTCTCATCGTTGCTCAGTTATTTATAATGAAGTTCATCAAACAAAAAATAAAACTATCAGTTAAAAACGTGGACCCGCCTACATCGTTTATGAAACAAAGACACGGGGCGCTCCTACCTAATACGATACGTGCGCTTATCGTGGGTCCTTCTGGCTGTGGAAAAACAAATTTAATTTTCACTTTATTAACCAATATAAACGGAATACGATTTCACAACGTATACATATATTCAAAGACATTGGATCAACCTAAATATAAAATGTTGAGTGATATATTATCAGATATTGATGGTATAAAATTATTTACATTCTATGAAAACGAACAAGTTATTGAACCTGAGAAAGCTTTACCAAACTCTGTGTTTATTTTTGACGATATTATTACTGAAAACCAAAAGATTGCAAGAACTTACTTCTCCAGAGGTCGTCATAATTTAGTTGATGTATTCTATCTGGCTCAGAGTTATTCAAAAGTACCAAAACAACTTTTGCGCGATAACGCTAATTTTATTGTATTATTCAAACAAGACGAAACTAATTTAAAACATGTATACAATGAGCATTGCTCTGGCGACATGTCATATTCAGAGTTTAAAGACTTTTGCACTTCGTGTTGGCGTCAGGGGAGATTTGAGTTTATCGTCATAAACAAAGACTGTGAACGCGACAATGGACGATATCGTCATGGATTCGACACATTCGTCATTATATAAAGTGTTGTTATTGTGGAAATGCTTCATTCACAATCATGGCTGTCAGTGGTGATGTACTGGGAGAACTGATTAAAGCCAAAGAAAATATCAAGCGCAAGTATACAGCATTAAAACAAGGAAAAACCGACATTCATTCATTAGTATCAGAAACGTTAAGTCCGATTATCGAACCATTAGAAAAAATAAAACGTTTCGGCCCATCAACATTTCAAGCTCCACCTACACAGCAAGACATTGATATTCAAGATTCTCAATATTTTAACGACACAGACAATTCGCTAGCTTTTAACGACTGGTTTAAGTCTTACGATATAGACAAGACGTATGGACCTAAAATACAAACAAATGGAAGTGTACACTTAGGTAAAAAAGAAATTAAACTCGTTGATAATACGTTAACTATTGAAGATACATCATATCCACTAACACAAGGACTTGGTAATTTAATATTTTCAAAATCTCCAAAATTGTACACCAAAAACGATTTAGAAACATACAAGTCTATATTAATTCAAACATCGGCGCATCTAAAAGCAGATGGGAAAAAAATTAAAAAAGGCGGAAATAAATATACAGATATAATCCAAAATCTGTTTCCATCGGGCTCTGGGCTGTCAGTTAAATTACAAAAACATAATTTAGTATACTGGAACGAACCTAATGAGCTAGTCGATCGATTACGACTTCTTTTAGCTTCTAAAGCTGCTGGTAATACAGGCGTTTCGAATGAAATACTCTCGATTTTTGAAGAATTGCGTGAAGCAGGGTTAATAAAACGTATTCCAAATGTCTAAACGTGATATAGCTTATGAACTCCACAAACCAGCGAGAAAAAATTATACAAGGCGTAGAGTTAATGTTTACGACAAAAACGATCTATGGCAAGCCGACTTGGTCGAAATGATACCGTATTCGAAAAAAAATAAAGGCTATAAATATATTCTATGTGTTATAGACTGTTTTACTAAATTCGCATGGGCGACACCATTAAAATCAAAAACTGCTAAAGAAGTTTCCAGCGCAATGTCTAAAATACTGCTTAAACGCTCACCAAATCTATTACAGCTCGACAATGGTAAAGAATTTTACAATTCAACATTTGATGCGTTAATGTCTAAATACAACATACACAAATATTCTACGTACAGTACTATGAAAGCGTGTATTGTAGAACGTTTCAACCGCACATTGAAAGAAAAAATGTTTAGAGAGTTTACGGCACGTGGCTCTCACGAATGGGTTTCTATTTTACAGTCGTTGATTAACGAATATAATAATTCAAAACATAGAACTATAGGAATGACGCCTGTACAAGCTGATGCTAATCCTACGTCAGTGGAAATAAAGAAACGAACAATTATTAATGGACTAAACAAATTTAACGTGGGTGATAACGTTCGTATTAGTACATATAAAGGTGTATTTGCAAAAGGTTATTTACCGAGCTGGTCTACAGAAATATTCAAAATTGTTAAAATTAATGAAACATTACCTACTACTTATCAGCTACAAGACTATACTGGAAAACCAATTGCTGGTTGCTTTTATTCAGAAGAAATATTGAAAACAAACTATCCGAATGACTATTTAGTAGAGAAAATTATCCGTAAGAAGGGGGATCAAATTTTTGTCAAATGGCTAGGGTTTGATAATACACACAATAGTTGGATAAATGTACGTGACATTAAAAAATAGTGTCAGTCTAGCTACAGACATGAACGTGTTTGGTAGTTCTCAGTCTGGTGAAACAAAAAAAAATATTTCAAATCTCGAACAAATTGTTAAATCGTATTCGAATAAACTCGATAAAATTGAGCATTTACTCGAAGAAAATCATAAATCCATTCAAATTCAAGAAGAACAAGTAGAAGCGATACAATTGACATGTATACAAATAGCTGAGCATATGACAAGAGGTGAAGTATCATTACAATCAATCAAAGAAAGTACAGAAGCGTTGAAAATAATTCCTGCTATACTGAGCCGTCTTAACACTATAGAAACTTATTATAAAGACAAGTCATAATGTCTTCGGCCATCTTGGACATGCAATGCGTTCTTGGATTTAACAATAAATATATGATTAAAGAAATGTCTATAGTAGACACAGAAACTTGGGCGACACAACACTGGATTTTTAAACATTCAAAATCGATGGAAGATAACAAAAGTCGTAAAACCAACAAGTGGCTGGAACGTAATTTTCATCAACTACCTATAGAATACGGCGATATCGAGTATGAAGAAGTCGGCAAAATATTGAATTCATTAAAGTTCACCTGTATTTACGTCAAAGTTGAACAGAAAAAACAAATTCTTATGGAGTATATACCACACGTCGCACTCATCAACATTGAAGACTTGGGCTGCCCTCGTTTAGATCAAATATGCGATGACGAAACTTTACCTTGTTGTATTTTTCATATGGAATTTAATCCTAAACAATGTACATTTTATAAAGTTTTTGCTATAAGAAAATGGTTTATAAATAATTCTTAAAAATATAACAATAATATTTTAACATTGGCTGTTTTTATTTCACATAGGTAACCTAACATTTTCAATACATGATTATAGATAACAAAAATATACATGATATTTTACAATATAACGAAAATATATGCATTAATCTATCTCAACTATAATTAAATATAATATTTTCAATATATATACATAGTATTTACAATTTAGAAATATATACAGTATTTAATTATTTGGACATGCAATCCCTTAGAAGTAATCTCATTAAATCTTTCTCTTCATCGTTCCAGTTCTGTTCTTCTTCTTCTAATTCAGGCCAATCAACAATCTGCTCGTTATCATCCCTATAAAATTATAAATATAAGTAAAATAATTTGAAAAATATAAAATAATTTAAAAACTTACTCTAAACTATAATGCCCATGGGCTAGAGTATGCACTTTATCTTCAAGTACTAGCCTCTTGTCATCATAGTTATTGTATGTCATTTTGTTGGTTCTAATTGTTGTCAATTGATGATTGAAGGATCGTATAGATATATTTGGCTGTCTATTCACAAGAGAGTCCACACCTTCAAACAAACATCGTCTGTGATCTTCAAATGTCATATGATTCCTGAAAACATGTCCTCTGACACCCTTCGCCCTAATCTCTTCTTTGGGGGAATCAATCCCAATCTTATACGAATAAGATTTTGAGCGAAGCGCACAAAACTCTGTCATTATATCACCATTGGTTTCATCTGAAAATAGTCCCGGAATCTTTTTTCTCTCAGCAATATAACAGGGATGATTTTCTGGTAAATTCGCCGTGTCCATGCGGTCAAGTAAAATCGGGTTGTTTACCATATCATCATAGAAATCATCGGTTTCGATAAAATACACTAGTGAATCTATAAAAATTAATTTATTAGTGAAAATTAAGACGTTCATTGTAAAATAGATTATTAATTCACCTGTATCTGTATACATGAGTGATATTTTCTCCCCATAGTACCTCTTCATAACATTATAGTGATAGTCATACATCAGTGTCTTGCTTATGTCCAGTACTGCGAGTCCTGTGAAAAAAAAAAAAAAAAAAAAAAAAAAAAAATTATAATTTTTAAGATTAAGAATATAAATGTGTGTATAATACATGCCTATATATATAGGTTTATCGAATTTTATGATTTTATTCTCCAATGTTATTGCACTCAGTTTTCGTATATGCCGTTGCATGTTTAAATGTTGTTTTATTTATAAGTTTCCGTAATCTATCATCACTCGATACCAATTCTACTTTTATCCTACGACGAACTTGTTCCATAGTCTTCCCTGTAAAGTACAACATTAGTAT